TTAGAAAAAAGGCATATCTCCTGTTATGATCAATTTTATATGGTTTTGTAGGCTGAGAATCTGGTCTCCAGCAACGTCGTTTGATCACGTTTTGTGGCCAGGTAGTTTGTGGTCTGGAGATTGGTGTAGTCCCGTTTCACCTAGAGGGTTCCAGAATGTAGTACTTTTTCCAAAGAACGAGGACCAAAGAGCAGTTATTAAATTATGATTGTAAATTATGTTGAGCAGTTCCATGAACTTCCAAAACCAGGTAAACTAGCGACAAATCTTTGGCACTGCCAAAAGCAGCGATATTAAACAGGCCTTGGGTTTAAAACATATCTGTGTAGCTTCTTGTGTAAAACATCCAACCCATGTTGTCAGACCTAACATTTCCATAAAATCATGAGCAGCAAGAGGTGTTTTCTGTCCCCAGACACTAAGAAGATGGTTAGTCCTGCACAGCGCAGGGCGGTGCGTGTTACTTACGTCTCCGTTCTCGTGCTTAATCCTCGTTCCCGTTCCCTTGCAGTGATGCTGCAGCCGTTCGACTACGACCCCAACGAGAAGAGTAAGCACAAGTTCATGGTGCAGTCCGTGCTGGCTCCGTCGGACATGACCGACATGGAGGGCGTCGTAAGTCTCCGCGGCCACCGCTTTCCCTGAGCTCGTCGCTCCCATTCTGCGCCTCGTCGGCGTCCTGCGGGGGGGGGGGCTGCAATTGGACGCGCCGTGGGGCCGCCATCAGCAGCTGCTTCACACTGTGGCGTTCTGCTGTTCTGTGTTTTCCATTGGTCATTGTCATCGGTCTGTCTGTTCTTTTTATCCTCTTGTCCTTTAGAGCGCCTGTCTGAAAAACAGGAAATGTGATTCTGACATGAAGATCGTTTTTTTCCTCCTGTATTAGGAAAATGACTAACTGATTAATTAACTGATTAAGGGTAATCTACCACCTACACCTGATTGTCTACGTATGGTTTTTGTATGTACAGTTAGCTCCTCTGATTGTCCCAGTGAGTTGCAGAGAGATGTGTTCGTCTCTCCTGGAGCTGCAGTGCGTTTGAAATGCCCATGTCAACTTTTGCTCTAATGTGGAAATCCTGTGGTAATTCTCAGGATGTGAACTGCTGGGCAAAACTCTCGAGCCCCCTGGTTCTAGACTCCAGTCAGCTTTAATACAGAAGAGTTGATTGCGTTTGTTGGAATGGAGCTTGTTGGAATGATTTGGCAAATCGTCTTTCTGGAACAGGTAACATAGGAGGGAAAACTCCAGTGTAGGTTCAGCTGCTTTGAGTGATACTGCGGCATCGTGGCTCCTCCAGCTGTTTTTTTAGGTTTTGCTTAAATGGGTCTCCAAATCTGCCAGTGTTGTTGAGAGAGATACTGTTTCCAGGCAGTGATTCACAACGCAGCTGCGACAGTTTATCTGTCTTCCTCTCTAATCCCAGCTCTCCGTCTTCCCCTGCAGTGGAAGGATGCGAAGCCAGAGGAGCTGATGGACTCCAAGTTGAGGTGCGTCTTCGAGCTCCCGGCAGAGAATGAGAAAACGGTGAGATGCTCATTGCCTTTGTAGAAACTTTTGTGGGGGTGCACCCTTACTGCAGGCCCTAGGGAAACATTGGTTTCGTTGTTTTCAGTAGACAGCCTGTTAATCATTTTAGTGCTTCAGATCCATCTCCCTTCTCATCTGGGATTGCTTGTCAAAATCCTTTCTGGAAGCGCTGAGACGTTCTGCACAAGGCCAAAGAGCACTTCAATAAAGCCAGCTCAAAATGAGTTAACAAAAATACTGATTCGCTTTTTTGTGTGTTGTTCAATGCCAGCCTTTAGAAATAACATGATGAACTGGTTAGGTATATTCTGTTGTCTTAGGTACATTTTTGCGGAAGTTTTTTTTTTGCGTAATTCGGAAATGACTAGGAGAGGAGAGGTGTTTGTGGTGTTGGTGAGGAGGGACAGAGGTAGATGGAGCGTCGTCTCGAAACCCTCCCGCTTCCCAGCCCGAATCACAGTGACCCTTGTTCCCTCTCCCCTCATGCAGCACGACCTCGACAGCAACAAAATCCTGTCCTCCAGCGTACTGAAGTCCGAGTCCTCCTCGTTGTCCAAGTCCATGAGCTCCTCCCTGGACGACGGGGAGGTGAAGAAGATCGTGGAAGAGTGTAAGAGGTTGCAGGTGGAGGTGCAGCGGCTAAGGGAGGAGAATAAACAGATCCGGGTACGTCGGGCTTGGGGGGGCGGACTGGGGAGGGGGGGTTGGAGGGCAGTGAGAGCAAGGGGGGGACTTGTTTCTTCCTGGAGCTGCAGGCAGCACAGACACAGATTCTGCATTCAGAGTGAGGCCGGTCCTGCATTCCTCTCCAGGCGCTCGGGAGCTGAGCTAGGGTGAGGTCATTCAAAAGTCCAGGTGGGCCTTAACCATCCTTTCGCTCTAGAGGGTCTGCAGCAACAGAGCAGTTTAACTTTTAGAGCTCACTTTAGCCTCACACCAGGAACAGCAAACCGTGTAAAATGCCTCAGGGCACCTCACAGATTTAAAATGTATTTCGCAAGTGATTGAACTTGGTCATCCTGGTCACAGTGGCTACTGGCATAACCCAGGCTTGAACCTGCAACATCTGGGTTGCCTGGTGGGGCCGCCCTGAAACCCAGCAGTTATCGACTCTTAAACATGTGTCAGAAGCTTCTTTGTGGCTCAGAAGGCAACAGGCATCTCTTTGGAGTGTAGGTTGCGGGCCAGTTATCTCCGGAAATAACCGCTGGAGCCTGGTGGGCTTGCATGCCTGTGAGCTAACAGTGCGGTCAGTGATGGGCGATCGCTCTTCTAGTGGGTGCAACGTGTGTAAGAGGTGCCATCCATTCAGCCCTGATTCTCTCTGACGAAGCCTGTACTTGAAGTGTTCTCTGTTCCATTGAAGACTGTTGGGTTCCCCTACCCGCAGGAAGACGATGGCCTGCGGATGAGGAAGACCTCTGCGATGCCGGCTCCACACTCCTCTTCCTCGTCCCCCAGCGGCATGGTAAAGGAGGAAGGCCCCAGCACCCGCATGCTTGCCCTGTGTGTTTTATTCCTCGTCATCGGTGTGATCATAGGGAAGCTGGTCTTGTAGAGAGGGCATGCCGTATGGATTAACTTCTGGATTGGAGAATTTGATCAGAATGCCATATCACTGGGGTAGAATTGAGTCATTAAACTATGTACAATAAAAATAAAACAGAAAACAAAACAGGAAAACCATTATATAATGAAAATGTCTCACAGGTCTTGCCTTTTAACTGTTTCCCTTCTTGGCCTCCTCCCCAACTTGCACAGATAGTGATGATAATATGGGGGAATTATAACTTGTACAGTTATAAAGAAATGTATTAAAAAGAAATTCTAATAATGGTAACAATAATAAAAAGAGCAAGGCTTTTTCTAACACCAGAGAAATAATCTGACTGATTGTAATATTTAGTGGAATTTATGTGAATGTTTTAATCATTGCTTTTTTAAGACTGGGATGTCAGATTTTGTGATTTGTTTCTAAAAAGTGAGTGGGACTGTGGTGGGAGGAGTGCTGGGGTTGGCCGTGTCTGTGTAACACCTGCAGGCTAACTCCTTTAAAGGATGGGGGGAGATAAATGTCCAGATAGACTTCCAATTAGGGGCGTGTGCAGTTTGGTCCTCTGTGATTACGATCAACAGTGTGCAATGCTGCAGAGAGCGTTTCAGTTTTATTTTTGTTTTTTGCAAGTTCGTGTTCTTCTGCAAGAGGTCTTTTGGAAGAAGCGTTATTGATGGTTTGATATTGTCACAAGAAAGCGAAACCTTTGTCGTTTTTCAGAAAAGGCTGCAATCGCCGTTTCTTCCAGTGCTTCTCTTCTGGGATATAGTGCAAGTCGGTTTAATTTTTGTATCTCCTCTGTAGTTATTTTCTGTTTTAGGATTTTGCACTTGAGAGTTAGCTACTTTACAAAGTGTCAGACAGCCGAGCTTCACCGCTGGTAAGCATGATTGGTTAAAAATTAAGAACGGTTTTTTAAAGAGTTATGCTCTTTGCAACCTACTTTCGCAAGTTATTTTACATAACAAACATTTAGCATCACTGATTGGAAAGGTTTGGTTTTTGCCTTGTTTTTGCTTGGTGTGGTTGTCACAGCATTAAAAATAATAGAAGAATGGGAAAAGTTAGTCTTTGTCCTGAGATGCAGCTTTCTGATGTCATTGAGAAACCCAATTTACAAAACAACATATGGCTTTGTACCATTTAACTTGGAAGATGCTGTGAACCAAAATCCTCCCAACTTTCCAGGCAGATGAGCACTGAGTTTTTTTCCTCCTGTATCATATAGCATTGTATATGGGGAATAGGGGTTGAATCGTCCACTTTATGTAGTTTTAAAAAACTGCAGCATCACTTCTGACTCAGTCTGTTATTCTAATTTATGCTCGTACCTTGTTAATCAGCTACAGTATGAATTGTTCAGGTTTTAATCTAATGTCACAACAGCCATTATTGTATTATAATTAAGAAACATTTTCATGCACTATGTGTAAATTGGGTTATCCCTACAATATTTTAAATAATATATATAAATATATATATAAATAAACATTATCTAGCCATGGTTAAGGTCTTGAAATCTTATGGGTAGTTTAGTTTTTGTGTGTGTGTGTGCGTGTGTGTCAAAGACATTTTTGAGCAAAATCATTCACCATGACAAATTTAGAAATCTTGAAAGGGACCATTTCTTGTCTATCTAGGTTTAGTTTTTTTTGGGGATTTATTTGTTAACAGGATGATGCCTAAAATCCACACTAATTTTTAATGTTTCATCTCACGGTTGCATACTGTAAAATTATTTAAAAAAAGAGAACTTGCAAAATTGTTTGTTGCTGTGGGGTGGGGGGGGAGGTTGGGTGTAGGAAAAACTTTTTAACCCCACCTGGGCAAAAGGTGAGTGGAGATGCACTTGCTGCTGAAAGGGGTGGCTCTGTGGGCCTGTCCTGACCACCAGGGCTGTAGACACTAAACAGACCTGAAATGACACTTCTGACCATCACCATGATGTAATCACAGCAATCAGGCAACTGTTTTCTATGTACATAAATAACAATCTAAGAAGTTAATATTCGTAGTAAACTAGTCTATGGCGTCAAAACCAACCCTGTTGGACTATGTAGCATCTTAATAAATTAAATAAAGCCCCAAACGTATCTTCTCTTGTGCGGAGTTGTTTATTTTTGCCTGTAAGTGCTTGTGTGTCAAGTTTGTGTTTCAGAAGGGCGTGTGGGTGTGCTGTGGCTCGCTCGGTTTCGCCTCCGATGGGCAGGCCGCAGGTCTGTCCGCGGTCCAGTTCTCCTTCACCCTCTTTTTTTGTTTTGGCGACTTCGCCTCTGTCCCCCTCCTTTCTTTTTGTTGTGGGGTGCTGAGGGGATGCCAGCGTGTTGGCAGCTGAGAGCTCCTGGCCTGGGGGGCAGTGGGAGGCCACTGAATGAAATTTTCAAGACGGTTCCTCTTTATCTTAAAGACAGTTACTTGGCCCCGTTAACCACCTTGAAAACTAAGCGTCGCAGTAGAAGAATACTCTTTTTTTTTATGCCAGAAATTAAACCTGCGGTAATCTGAAAGGAATGCAGCTGTAGAACAATAACTACCCCTTCACTGTTTGACTTGTTAACCTGGGTTGGATATCTGAAAAATGGTCTTGATTCAATCCTCCAGTAATTTTGTTCAGTTTCTTTTTAAAACCACCAATTCCCTCTGTAATCTCTCGTCTTTTTAAAAAATATATATATTTTCTCGCTTTGTTTAAAAAGAATCTGGTTTCTGTTGCGGTCTGCAATAAAGTTTATGGCGGTCTGGTTACGTTTCCGAGATTGAAAACCCACAGCGATGTGACCCTGCTGGTGCAATGCAAGTAACCTGGAGTGGCTCAGCAGGTCACCAAGGGGTTTCTGGCTCCCTCGGTGAGTTTGTATCTGGCGCATGTAATGTTGGAAAGAGGAAGCCATTCATTTCGGGTCTTCATTCTCATGCTGGGGGAAATATTTTCTTGCCACTTTGGTGACTGGTAAGTTCTGCGCTTAGGCTACCTCTCCAGGGAGTTGTAGAGAGTCAGCATTATAGAGTGGAAGACTGTGCTGCTGTCCCGTACCTTCTGGGATTGGGTGCGGTTATTTTTGGGTGTCCTCTGTGTGGCGTTTTGATGTTCTCACTGTGGTGTCTGTACGGGCGTTCTGGTTTTCTCCTCCTGTACGAACTCTCGTGGTCCGGGTTAGTGTGTCCACCCTGTAATGGACCACTGTAGTCCCTTCTGCTCTGTGCAATCACAGGGAGTCGCCCAAAGCCCTTTCCAGCAATCGGAGGCATGGCATCAGCCCATATCTCTGTTGCAGAGTTGATCATTCATTTTAAATGGTCGAGCAATATGCTGCACGGATTGGCGTGATCCTCTTCCACCCAAACTCAAAAGACCATGTAAGCACCACATGGTCAGACACCATGAGTTCAGGGACTGGTGAATTGTCTTTTGGAAAATCCTCCACGTCGGACTTGCCTTGAGACTTCAGCCACAGTTTGCCCAACTGTCGTGATGCTGTATGGAAGTCAGTGCTCTCTTCTGCTGGTTTTTTTCCCCAGGAGAGTGGCAGACTTAAAAAATAAATTGAACCACTTCAGGTTACCGTATTGTTGGGAAAACACACCTGGGAATGGCAGCTCTGTAGGAGAATGTTTTTGTTTTGCAAAAAAGGGTTTGCTCTTATGAACAACAGTGTATTCCTCAAGCCAGAAAAGCAACATATTACTTATATTTTTATGAGGCAGCTGCAACTTTACACATGAAAATTGATGGGGTATTAGCAGCATTTATAAACATTGTCAGTCTAATCTGGTTTTCCCTGTTACAGTGCAGGGTTTTGCCAGTTTTCGACTGGAACACAGAGCTGTAACAGGGCGGTCTTGGACCTGAAGTCCGATCTGTCCCTCTTTTACTAGCAGGCAGACACTGAGGCCGCTGCAGGACAGAGAGGAGAAATCTCCGGTTCCTTCTTGGAAGCAGCTTGGTATGGCGGATAAGCAGAGCTGAATCATTTCCCTCCCATGGAATTAACATGACAAGCCCACTAAGATATTTGAGGTTTGGAAGTTGGAACCTTGGTTTTAGCTTAAATTAAAGTGATTTTTTTTCAGTAAGGAATGCTGTACTGTAAGTCATTTTTAAAATATGGTATTTAATCACTTCAGTGTCTCTGGGGCCTCTTTCGTCTTCTCCTTGTTCAAGTAGATGTGTGTATTGTGTCAGGGCTGGGAGTTCATACTCGGAGCTCTGCTCTACTGTTCTACTGCTCCACAGCGAACGGCACTCTGTATCAAACATCGATGTGCAAGCCGGTTTCTAGAGTCTGATTTGGGGAGATTTATTTCATTTTGACAGGGCAGGGTAGGGCAGGTAAAACTGAATAGAACTGTTGTTTCTGCTGTTTTCTTTCCAGCAGGGGGACTGGGCGTGTCCCGTGTCAGCATGCGAGACTCACGCCTAATCGAGAACAATCGATACAGGGGGCTCCTGCACACGACTGCGACTGCGGTCATGAGCAGTCCCCTGGTATTCTCCCACAGCTCTAGTGCTGCCTAGCGAAGCCAGATCGGAGCCTTGCAGTTGGCTCTGGAGAGGGGGGCCGGGGGCCCTGCTGGGCGGGGGGGTTTTACAGTGGAGGTGCAGAGATATCTTCCCTGCCGGAGAAGGCCATACCCATCTGTCGGAGTTGGACCAGCTCTGGGGCTTAGATTTACGAGGTTTCCACCTCCAGTTCACGAAGGATCCGGGACGCTCGGTGCTCTGGTACAAAGCCTAGTCCTTTTCGGTTCTTCCCTCCCAAGCCAAGCCCTCATACACTTGCTGTAACCAGAATGATGACCTCATGGTGCTGCCGGCAGCCGCTGTGGCGAAGCGGGCTGGAGTTAATGCGAACAGGCTGTGTCTGCTGGACGTGCCCAGGGCCCCCTTGCCCTCCTTCTCCCTCTGTTTCTTCCCTCCTCGGGCTAACCCCGGCATTTATTGCTTCATTATTTCTGCTTTTTGATAAAATAATAAAACCAGTAGGATGAAAGAAAATAACAGTGGGAGTAATGATGGCAACCGGAGAGGCTGTGGTTCCAGTTGAAGACTAGCCAAGCCGCCTGTTAGTGTTAGTGCAGCAGTGAGCTGGAGGCTGGGCGGCGCACTCTGTTTTACCGTGGGATAGAGCGTCTTTCCCAAAAGCAGGGCTGATCAGTACGATCTGGTTTGCTCATTCAGTCACAGCCAGGGGCTGGCTAGTGTAAAGTTAAAGCTCTTGAACAGCAGCGAATCCCATCTGACCTTTCGAACACCCAAAGCCCATTTAAAAACACGCCCCAGACTGTAACCTGCAAACAGCCGGTGAGGGGGAACTCAACTGGAGCACAACCCAGAGGAGACCGTGCTCCCTCAGGACCAGGACCAGGGCCGGGCACCGTTGATATAGGAAACCCAAACCCCCAAAAGTTAAACTAGAGGGGCAAAACTCCAGTCCTGGAGAGCCCTGCCAGTTTCTGGTTCTCTTTCCATCTGAGCCCTTAATTACCTAACTGGACTCCTTATTTGCTCATGTGGACAAGCTGAAGCCTGCCCTTGTTCTTGAGAAGCTGGAGCTTTAAAGAGAGCTACGCAAGCTGCTGGACTGGTGCCCCCTGGACTAAAGGCTTGGGAACTGCGCTCATGAGGGCCAGCTGAGTCAATAATTGATCCAATTAAATCATTAGGGGCTCAAGGGGCCGAGAAGTCCTGCCTTTCCAGGCCCAGGAGTGAGGATTGCAGATCTCAAGCAGCATCGAGTGGGAAAGAATGTGTGGAAACTGCCTTAGGGTGGATATTATGCAAACTGTTTGGAACTAACAGGGGGACTGGCGGGAAGGGGTCTGCTCTTGTTGGTGTGCTCTCCCCACTGACCCAGACTGCAGAGGCCACACTGTTCTCCAACTTAGACAGAGGGTCTCAGAGCACAGCAGGCTGTGCTGTCCAGGACTTCTCCTGTCTTAAACCCACCATGCTGGGCCTGGAGGAGGCTGAGATAACCCAGCCCTCCCTGTGAAACCCATTCTGATTGTTTCAGCTTAGCCCCCATTTCAAGTGAATTGACAACGTCCTTGTTATGTCGCACACAGTGCCCGTTTGGGGTTTACAACGCTGTTGCGCTTTGGGTTTGGGGGGTTACCGCTTTACAGCACTGGGGTGCCTTGGTGGGCTTCTGCCGTTCTGGTTCAGTTACGAGTCATGCACCGTAAAGAGCGGACGTCTGTGAAATCTGTCAGCCTCAGTCTGGTTCTCTGTGGTGTAACAGTCCTTCATTAGAGCTCTCCAGTGTGTTTCAGTGGTTAGGCAGTTGGAGACGGCGGAGGCACAGATTCAGTTAAACAACCGACTGCAAAAGAGCAGACCGGACATACCTCAAAACCTGGATTTGCAACCTATAACTGCTGGTTGTGTTAAAAGTTTTATTTGAATTTGGATTTGGGCCCTGGGCTGAGAACAGCAGGTCTCCAGAACCGCGGGAGCTGTAACGAGCCGGTGAACAGGCCAATTCCAATTAAAGCCACCTGCTCGTGATTAAGACCAATTAAGAGGGAAGCGGGGAAACTTGAAGTGCGATTTGTGGATCGCAGCCTGTGCGCCTGTGTCGGCGGTTAGTGGTCTGCGTGTTCCAGGGGTGACTTCCAATCATCCTGGCGAGCTGCACAGGGCAGAGGGAGCAGGAAGCACAGAGCAAGAGAAGGAAGGCCGCCCAGCAGGTGTGTGGCCCTTCAGGACACGGGCTGGGGGCAGGGGGTGGATGCACCGATGGTGACTGCCCCTGCCCCTGGCCCTCTCCCCTCAGAGCCCATGAGCCAGCTGTGTGCGCGGTCAGCTTCCGAGAGCCGAATGAGCTGAACGCGTGTGTCCTCGCGCTCTCCAACGCCATCGCAACGGTCTCAAATAAACACAGTCAGCCATCTGGAAAGGAAACAAAATATTTATACAAAACCAAGCTCGCTCGCTGGGTTTTTTTAGTGGAAAACATACTTTTAATATTTTTCATATAAAAAAAAAAATCGAAATGAAGAAATGCAAAAGACCCGCAAAAAAGCAGTAATAACATAAACTATGAAAAGATGAATGAAAAAAAATTTGGCAAGCTCTCTACAAATTTAATGCATTAGCTACTATAACATATCTCGTTGGGGTTGAAGCCTGTCGCTATTTCTTTTAAGATCTGGATAATAAATAAGTCCATTGCCTGCCAGGTGTGTTGCAACAAGTCCTGGACGGCAACGTGAGGAGTCGTCACAGAGCTCGGGGAGCTGGACTGCATGGGCAGTGTCCGGCCGTCTGCTTGGACGATCTCTGGGCCTGGTCAGTACTGGGTGGGAGAGCTGCTTGCTGCTGGGTGTGGTGTTGGTGGACCAGTAGGGGACGCTCTTCTTGCTGAACCAGAATGGACCATTACCACAGTAAGGTGGCTGGGGGTCACTGTGCTGTTGGAGGTTCTGTCCAGCAGATGAAACATTAATGGCCACGTAGCCAGGGCTTCGGTGTGAAGACCCCAGAGCACTGTTCGGGAGAGTTCGGCTGTCAGCCCCTGGCATTCTGGCTTAATCCCATGCTGGGTTTGCACCATTTGGCCCCCACTTCAGAGGAGGGCTGTGTGTCAGGCTGTGCTGTAGATTCTGAGCTCTGCACAGGCTCTCCATTCCTCAGATCAGCCTGCACCTCAGTCTCCAACCCCCAGTTTGTGCCGGTTCCACGTTCTGTCCAGTTTAACAGGTATTAAGAAATATATAAACCCTTGAAACACTTAAGAGTGACTGCCAAAGATGAGTTAGTTTTTTTTTTTAAAGTCTTCTTTCTATACAAAGATACAAATTTAAGTACTTGGTTTGTAACTTAATTCTGGCAAAATCATGTGTGAGTCCCATTGTTATACGTGTTTGTCAGGTAGGTTGAAATTGTGATTTAATCTGGCTAAAGATTAGCGCAGTACACATGAATCCACATGATGTGTGGTGCAGGAAAAGGTGAAAGGATTGCAGTACCCAGCTCTGACCAGCAGGTGTCAATGTAGAGGAGAGAAACAGAATATCTTCAAGATTTAAAGCTGCTTGTCAGGATCTCGAACTTATGTAAAATATCCACTGTTGATCAATTTGAATAGGTATGCTCAGTCATTGCTTTGAGTTTAAATACGAGTGCACTGCTACTGTGACAGCAAGAAAGCCAACAGTGTCTCTCAACTTAGGTAGATTGGCTGTCTGGTTAAATAATTAATAAAATATCTGGAAACCTCTGCCAAAAAAACTCAAAACATGATTTTGAATTTTTTCTATACAGGAATCAGCACCTCCGAGTAACATTTAATGGAGCTAAAATGTGTAAAGTAGTTATTAATTACAATGTATGTTATTATTAATATTTAAAGGATTTTGTTTGGTAAGAACTGCCCTCCCTTCTTCATCCATCCCCCCCTCCCCTTCCCCCACCCAGTGAGTTAAAACTAGCACTGCCATGGCCTTCCCCAACACCAACAGCCTTCATTTCCAGCTCTCTCCCTTCTTCCCAGCTCGTAAGTACAACAGTGTCACAGTCGGGCACTTCACAAAGCCTGAGTGCCTTGCCATCTTGAAATGGCCGGGACTGTCCATGTTTTCCAAACTCAAACCCTCTCCGGCTGATTCCAAGCCCCTGCAACAGCACTCAGCTTGGGATGAGACCGTTATGGTGACATCACTCCTAAGGACTCCCAATAGCTTAACAGTGTCCCTTGTCGGGAGACTGGCCCTTTGGCATAGTGGTTTTCACCATTGGTGGGGCTTCACTTGGGACTGGTAGATACCAGGAAAAGGCATAGAATCCGAGGGGAGGAGAGATGTACACACCTCTTCACATAATATCATTGTGTTTGTGTGTTTGATCTGTGTTTGAAGATTTAAACTGTATATGAAAAGTCATGAAAGGAACTTAGGAGTATGGGTTTGGATGGCTTGGTCCTGATACAGAGGAATCTCCCACGTCTCCAAAAACAGTATCTCTACCCCTGAATTTTCTCACAGCTCCTTCGACAGAGGGAGTCCCCGGGGGTCAGCGTGTCTGGACACACCAGCTGGCCAGCACCAGCACCGCGGAGCAGGCCAGGGCAGGCGGCCTCCGCAGGCCAGCAGCCCCGCTGGCAGGGACAGGCGGCGGAGGAGGGGCGCGGTGGGGGCTGTGCCGTGGAGGGGGAGCCGCCTGGGGCCCCGCGCACTGGATGAGCGGAGCCTGGTACGAGGTGGGCCGCTTGCTGGGCCTGTCCGGGCTGGACCCGTCGGTGGGCCTCTCCCCGATGAACAGCAGGGGGCGCTGGCGGTGGTCCAGCTCGGTCTTGAAGAGCTCGTACTCCTTGTGCGGCAGCCTGATGCCCAGAAGGGCGCAGCCGCCCGTGTGGGTCACGTCCTGCTCCACGCCCACCCCCCAGCCGCCCGCCCGCCCGCAGGCGCCCTCCGGGGACGAGCTGAGCGCCCTGGCCATGGCCGGGTCCAGCGCCGTCACGCTGGCCCGCGTCACCTTGAAGACGAACTCGGTGGCCCCCTGCACCAGGCCGGAGGGCGCCCCCCGGGCGTAGTGCCCGGCCGCGCGCACGGTGAAGGTGGGCTGGCGGCAGGCCGGGTCGGAGTAGTGCTGGTAGCTGCCCTCCCAGGCGCGCCGGTCCTCGTGGAAGGTGAAGAAGCGGGTCAGGAAGAGCACGGCCGGACGCACCTCGCACTCCCGGCTCACCCACTGGCCCCCCAGGGCCAGGGGCGGCGGCGGCCGGGGGGGCAGCACGGGGGGGCGGTGCTCGGAGGAGCGGTACACGGCGCCACACACGGGGCAGGGGTGGACGTGGTGCTGAAAGAGGGAGAGCGAGACGCAGGGTCACTCACTCCCAGGAGTGCAGCTTCCTGAGCCGAGGAGTGTGTTTCAAAGTAAAGGAGAGTGGTGCAGGGGCGCTAGTGCTGCCCTCCCTTCTTCATCCACCCCCACCCTCCCCCACCCAGGGCTGCCTCACAGCGCTGGGGCCCTGCCTTCAATTCCAGCCCTGGGGTGCTATGGGGTGGAGTTTGCGTGTTCCCCTTGTGTTTGCGTGGGTTTCCTCCCACAGACTAGAAACACGCTGGCAGGTTAACATGCCAGTGTGTGTCCTGTGATCCTGCCCAGGGTGTACCCTGCCTGGCGCCTGGCGCCTGGCGCCTGGCGCCTGGCGCCTGCCGGGATGGGCTCTGGCTTCCCCGCGACCCAGGATCAGAAGAAGTGGATAGAACGCAGAGGGATGGGAGAAGGAATGTCTCAATCTCGCATCCATAAGGTCTCGTGTGTGCGCCCTGGACTGTAGGGGAGTGTGCGGGCCGCTCGGGGTCTCACCATGGCATTCTGCAGGGGCTGCTGGTAGCCGGTGGGCCGGTGGTGGGTGCGCTGCGCCCACTCGGTGTGGATGTCGCCCAGGAAGAGCTCCTGCACCAGCCGGCCGTGGGCGTGGTGCCGCGTCTCCACCCTCAGCAGCCCCAGCTCCAGCATGGAGAAGCCCAGCGCCTCCAGGCAGTCCCGGCCCGCCCTGGCGCTGCGGAGCTCCAGCACCCTGCCGGGGGCCCAGGGCCGCCCGCCCGCGGGGGGGAGCATCCCGGGGCAGGAGGAGCCCAGCCGCCCCGCCAGCTGGCGCCGCGCCCGCGCGCTGTGGAGCACGATGCCCACTTTGAGCAGGTGGTGCTCGGCCTCGGTGGCCCCGCGCGTGATCCAGGAGGCCTGGCGCAGCCGCAGCCTGCCCCTGATCACCAGCGAGTAGGCGGGCGTCCGGCAGCCGGCGTCCTCGTAGTAGAACTGCAGGGCCTTGAAGAGGCGGCTGGGGTAGAAGGTGTAGAACCGGGTCAGGAACTCCGGGCCGGGCCGAACCTCACACCTGCGGGAGACAGAGGTCATGTGATGAGGCAGATGTCTGCAGAACCAGAAGCTTTCTCAGTAGAGTAAACCGTCACTTTAACGGCCAAAAGCAGTGAAAATCAGAAATCCAGGACTTCCCCCACCGTGAAGGAATAAAACACAGCATGGGGTTCAAATTTCAGGACTAGCAGCGGGGCCGGCCAGTTGCTTACACAGGCTGTTGCTTGTGTTTTGGATGATGCTGCATATTCTAAACAGCATATTTACAACATGTGAAATAAAGGGCCTGTACTGTATGTTTAGGATGAAAAAGGCACAGGAAAAATTTTCACTGACTGTCTTGGTTGCAATTGATAAAAAAAATAAGTTAAAAGATCCAGAAAGCATTTCTGTAGTGTGGATGTATCTTTTCTCGTTTCATAGCGTACTTTTGGGCAGAACAAACGAACAAAACAGATTTCCCTGCCTCCTGTTTTGTTTCTTCTCCAAGAATTCAAGAGCCTGTGTCGCCGCCGTGGTACTGTAGCAGCGTGTGGTGCTGACGCAGGGAGGGTGTGAGAAGTGTGCATCGACTGCCCCCTGGGGCGCGTGCTGTTCTGCTGGTGTTGGAGGTGACTTGCCTGGTGGACACCCAGTTTCCCTCCAGCCGAGGGGGGATGAGGGCTGTGATCCTGGCGCCGTCCTGCAGGTGGCGCAGTTGAGAAAGGCACTGTGGCTCCCAGAGCAGCTTGGTGGTGGTAGTGTTGCGAGGGGCCTGCGGGGCAGTCGGGACGTCCCACAGCTTCCTGCCGGCGACGGACAGAGCTGAAAGTGCACAGACAGGCGGCTGAGCAGGTGGAGGAGCCCAACGCTTCCTCACGAGGAAACCCTGCGGGCGCTCCCAGCTCCAGTCACAGAGGGTGCCCTGGATCACGGGCTGGCCCATTTCAATCTTCCAGTTAGGTGCTTTTAGCCCTTGAAAATGTGAATGGCGTCTGTGCACTTTGTATCTGTTTCTGTCAATGTGACCAACTGGGCTTCTACAAAAGCACATAACTGTTCGGAGACAGAAGGGAGGAAAGCACAAGGCTCTGTATGCTGAACTAAGGTATTTTCTTCAACCAAGGACTAAGTACAGAAAGAGCTAAGCAAAATTCTAAACATCAATTGAAGTGATAACCGGTGAAAAACAGCCGACACTGGGGTCCCCCAAGTCCAGGGCTGGGAGCCCCTGATCTTGACAACATGCCAGAGCCATGAGCAGAAGAGAAGAGTAATTAGCGCTTGCATGTGAGTGTTGCAATATGGCCTCTGCTGTCTCGACACCAGTTCACTGTGTATGTAAGATTGTGCCAAGTTTACAGAGGTTTTGCTTTTTCTCTGTAAAAACAAAAAAAAAACTGTTAAGTAATACATTTTAATAATAATACTACTGTAATAGCTGTTGATTTACGGATGCTTTAGGAGATGGAAAGCAGCCCTTGGGCTTCAGATTTCAGTAATTTTCCCTGTAATGGGATTTGATGGGGCTATTACAGCAGGATATACATCTGAATTAATAGTTGGCCAGTCTACTGAAAGAGAAAGCCTGGAGTTCTGGCTTGTCACTGCTTTGCCGCGGGCAGCTGCAGTTTCATAGTTTTTTATTTTCTTTGGGGGAGGAGTTGGGGGTCTGCCAGTGAGCCAGAGAGGAGTTAGTGTTGGTGATACTCCTTCGTTTCTTTTTAATTGCATCTGGATTGGGTACCAAGGTCCTAATGAAGGATGTCACTGACTTTTTCTAGGTCATTAACCAGTTGGTTTATGACCCCACGTACCGCAGTGAAAGAGCAGCCTGCATGCTGGCCTGATTTCTCCATAATGTTCCAGTCTGTACAGCTGATACCTACAGAGCTCTCGGAAAAAGACTGTACCATTCCAGAGCTGGAGGAGATGACTGCCTTAAATTGATGTCCTTCCTAGCAATCCGTGCATTGTTCACACTGAGGAAGAGGAGGCTGTTCAGGAGACGTTTGTGGTTTTGCATTTTGTTCAATGCATGTTAAATTATTCATACATGGTGCCATCCAGCTTACCAAACCCTGCAAACATTTTGTTAAAAAAAACATCTGCAATTTCAGCATTAGCTAATTAATAAAGTGGAATAAACAAAATCATAGTATCCCACAGTATTAACTATGCCAGTCTGCACTCACGAATACAATAAAAGTCCTTTATCGATTAAGCTCTGTATTCAAAAGTTAACCTTAAGGTCCCTCAGTGAGCCTTCCTGTTCTGCAGGTTCTGCAGTGACGCTCAGTGTTGTGCAGTGAAGCTCAGTGCTCTGTAAGCCTTGAATTGTGTGCGTTCTGTGGTCTGCAGAGGGACATGGGGGCAGATTCACTCAGGAGAGGAAACAAGGAGGAGACACAAACTTTCCCAGCCCAGTTTGTTTTTGATTAAACCCAAATGGTCTGGTTGAAGAGGCTCCCTTCCAGAGGGTGGTTTAGCAATGGTTTGTTTTGTAACGAGCAGTGTGTCTAGAGTTTCAGCTTCCTCAGCCAAATGTCAAACACAGAGGGGAATCTTTGATGAGTGACCCCCTCCCCACTCCTCCCACTCCTCGTTGTGTGTCTTGGTTACAGCATGTGGCAGAAATGAGCCAGTCTGCCATCGTCAGTATCTGTTCCTCCAGGACCAGTGAGCGGAACCATTTCTGCTTCACGGACAAACAAGTCATATTCCAGCAGAGCAAGACATGCAGATGGACATTTCCTTCTGTACAAAGACACTGCTTAGTTCCCTGATTCACGATGTGCATTGTGCTTTACAGTTAGACTCAGCTTTTCATAATATTGCACACGGATTTGAATGGACTTGTACAAAATAACCTCTTGTGGTTTGTTGACACTTCTATAGCTCTCAGATATTTAGCTACACATTAATAGCCCCTTAATTTCAAGGTCTCCATTTAAAAAACTCAAAGACATATGTCTGACCATATTTTCTTCACCAAACTACTTAGTAAAGCATGATCACAATCGTTTCCTTCAGCTAACTGATTAAAAACTCTCGGGTGTTTCACACATTTAAGACAGCCATATGAGGAGTGCTATATGCATTAGTTCAAATCCTTCTCAATGCAGACACGAGCTGGGTTTGGCTTGTCACATGCGATTTATTTAGTTAACAGTCTACTAGAAAATATGCATTTGATTTTGTTTTTACAGTACCAAACCATATGAAATATGTTTGCAATTTTCTTTTGTAAATATTTTTATATCTGTCATTATGTCTTTAATTCTGCTGGCATGTTGCTCCATTTTCCTGAAACGCCCCTACTTTATGATACTGATCAAGTTGAATTAAAGTTCTGTCTTTTGTTCCTCTCAATTGCCTACTGAGGTTCTGGTTTGTGTTAAGATCTCCCCAAAAAAAAAATGAAACTCCAAAAACGTTAACAACACTAAAACAGTTCAAAGAGAATGGTTACATTTATTTAAAAAATCATGTTGTGTAAAAATAACCTTTAGATTTCAGCGGGAGGTACAATTTAGCAGATTTCTTTAAGGTTTTTACACAGGGTGTCCCTCAGCTTTGACCCCTCATTTACAATTCAACGGCTTTCTAGCGGAAAAACTGTGTGTTATTAAACACATGGCTCCAGTTAAAAAAAAAGCTTGTTACAAAATTAAAGTAATTGAGCTTTTGGGGCTCCTGTGGAGAAATGGGGTTTTTAGTCAGGAACAAAACGTTTCAGCTTCGGATTGTTTCTAAATGAATTTGCACGTTATTACTTACAGACCCAGACCGTCCGTGTCTCAGCTCGCAGTGACAGGTTGGGGACGGGACATGCACACTGAAGCAGGGGTTCAACCTTCTCCTGCAGAAGTGCTGTCCTGGGGTCTGCGAGACCAGAGAGCCCAGGCCAGACCCTCTCAACCCTGCTCGCCCAGTGCTGATCCAGGCTTGATCCCTGATCCCGGCCAGCCCAGGCTCGGAATCCTAGTGAACTTGGGCTGAGACGATCCATCCACTCCCCCCCCTAACCTTCACACATCTGACCCACATGTTGACGAGAGGCTGACCTTTAACCTCAGCGAGAAACAGGTAGGAGAGGGACTTCCTGTCCGCATTGATGCTCGGGCTGGTATTGTAACGACAATGGCTGCATTGCAGGTCTAGGGCTTTCATTGTAAAGCTTAGCCAGAGGTTTTAGAAGCGGGAGCCTGGAGGAAGTTTGATCAGTGGGTTCATAATAATAATTCCTTACACTTGTACTGTAGTGCTTTTCTGGATGATCCACTCAAAGCGCTTCACAGGTCATGGGGATCCCCTCCACCCCCACCAGTGTGCAGCCCCAGCTGGATGATGCGCCAGTCTGCTCCCCCACACATCAGCTCTCAGTGGGGAGGAGAGCAGAGTGATGAAGCCAGTTCTGAGAGGGGGGTTATTAGGAGGCCATGATTGGGAATGTCCAGGGAGGAAGTTTAGCCAGGACACTGGGGTAACACCCCTACTCTTCTCCAGAAACACCCTGGGATTTTTATTGACCACAGAGAGTCGGGCTTTTTCACAGAGAAATCACGCACTGCTCTTTTCAAACCCGGGACCCTGGGAAGGAGGACATGCCAGCAAGGTTGGGGATCACCTTGCATGCGACAGCCAGGTGCTGAGGACGCCCCAGACAAGACCATCTCTTTCTTACGAATTGGACTTCAGCTCATACCTTGCAGGTGAGCGCCGCCGCCTACATTTTGTCTCGATCAGATCAGCTTTACCGCTTCCCCACTTCATAAGACGACGACTCCCAAAGACTTGGATGAGCAAGGGCTTTCAAGGAGAACGGGTGACCAGTTGCCCGGATCTTCCAGATATTCCATCCCACCAGCAGAGGGCGTGGAGGAGCCACACTTGAGTTATCATGCTGGCAGGATCTTCTGTTCTTTTAAACAGGCTGAACACCAGAGGGCGCCACAGAAGAGGCTCTGAAACTGGCCCTGGTTACTGCCCGATCGCCTGTTTGAAAATGGTAATTGCTTGCATTTCTACACTGTTTTTCATCTCAAAGAATCCCAAAGCACATTACATAAAGGCGGGGACCCACGTCATCCACCCGTGAAGTTCAGCTCCACCTGAGTGACTCAGAGCAGCCAACCTATGTCAGTAATACCACTGCACAGCAGATCAGGGGGAAGAGCATGACGTTGCTTCACCAATTAAGGAAGAATTTATTTCAAGGTGCCAAGATTGGAATTCAGCCAGATCGCTGGGGTAAACACCCCGAGCCATATCAACAATGCCCTGGGATCTTTAACGACAAAATAGTCAGGATTTGGTTTAATCCCACCCCACTCTCTCCACTGGAGTACGCATCTCCCACTCACTCTACTGGGACAAAGTATTAGAAATGCTGACTTTGTGAAATGGGCATGAGCCAGCAGCAGATGACGACTAGCCCTGCGTGCCGTGAGGCGTGTTTGCTTGCTGGCTTCTGCCTCTGCCCAGTGAGAGCAGCCTGCTGCGCGCTGGCTCTGCAACCTGTGACCGCTGGGCGGGCCAGCGCTCCGACGACGTCCCAGCCCCAGTCCGTCTGGGTCTGTTCGCACAGCTCGTGCCGTTCCAGCTCTGACGAGGTTTGTTTATGTGCGGCTCCCGGGACGACTCTCCTGTTTCTCACTCTTTCCGTCCCTGATGTTCTCCCAGCTTGGCGGAGGCAGCCTGTCCTTTCCCCTCCCTTTGGCCTGCGCTCCTCCTCTTGGCTGTCCCGGGCCGGACAGCCCTCTCCAGCCCCCTGGGCGGCTCAGCCCTGCAGCAGGAGGACACGGGGCGCAGGCCTGGCGGAGAGACGGCACCTCCTCGCTCGGATTAAAGATCCCCGACGGAAAGTTTGCGCCTCATTTGCGGTGGATGAATTTCAGTTTCTGTCTTTCGTCTGCTGATGCAGCGCAGTTCGTTCACAGACCAGAGAAACGGTGTCAGTCTTCATGTGGCGAGAGCGCAAAGAGCCCATTGACTGTGAGCACTGAGACAGAAAGAGCTTCTCAGCCACCGACGAACATTTGCAAATAAAAGCAGAGGCTGTTTACTAAATCTTCCTCATCTGGTTGCTTAGCAGCTGAGTGATCTAAGAGCCCATCAGATTGCTTTTTGAAGGATCCCAGGAATCAACGAGATCCCCATAAAACTCTTTCACGCCTTACAAGCATAGCTTCACGAGGAGAGCAACGGGGGAAGAGAGCCTTGTGGAGGTTATCCCAGGATCAAGCGCTTGTTTTTATTCCAGTCCATGCACTCATTTCACAGCTATTGACACCTAATCCAGCCCACTGTTCTCTTTCCTTGAGAGTTTGGATCTGCCTCATCCAGCCGTGGTGTTTATTTAGACTGGGGATGAGGTCCCCTCGCTAATCCAGCGAGTGACCTGCAGCAGCTCCTCCTGTGTTTTGTTAAGGCTGAGCTGGACATTCTTTGCAAGCCAAATTCAGAAAAGAGCCGGCGTTTGCCAAACATTTCATTAAGGGAAAATATTGCATATCGCACGCAAGTGTCAGTCAGGACATCTTCAAATTATTTGGGCTACAGCAAAGTACGAGCTTTGGTTAGGTCGGGGTCTGGCAAGTCTAAGTCCGTGTAAAACAGAGAACGTGATACAGAAGTAATCGTAACATAATGCTTTGCTTCAGCCCTGTATCTCTGTTCTGACATTGTGTTTCCTACCACACTGCACGGCCCTCTCCAGCACACGAGAGCTCATGAGCGGTGATTGATCTCGGATGTTTTGAAATAAGACTGCTGTCTCATCCATTGCAGCATGAGCCGTGATCCCTGTCTGCTGGGCACTCTACTGATATTCCATTTGCCTTTGCTTGGTTAACTGGTTTCACCATGGTTGCAGACCTTCTTAAAAAAGCGTACTTTTAGCTCACCTGATGTAGCCTTGACTCCCTGTAGTCCTGAATAGTAGACGACAACATTTCCTTGCATTTATGTATGGCATTTCAACCCAGTAGACCCCAAAGTGCTTCAGATACAGGTGGGCACCCACTTCATCTGATACTGAAATCCAGCGCCTGTCACCCATACTGTGCTCTCACAGGAAGAGCCCTGGGTATTCTCATGACCAGCAGTGAGAACATCAGTTTCATGTCTCAACTGAGGGACAGAGCCTCCCATGGCACAATATCCCTGGTTACCGTTACCAGACTGGGGCATTGGATTGGAAAATCTGATTGAGATGAATGAGCGCCACCTAGTGGCATCAATGCCACACTACCCACAATGCACCAGACAGCGGAGCAAATGACTCTGTGACCCACTGCGGAATCGAGAACGAGCAGAGCCAAGAATAATAAGCACCGCAGAGAGGTTGACAGGCTCGTTTATTCTGCCTCACTGGACCAGTTTCCAGTAGCGCACTGATCCCAAGAGAGGCTTCCCGGGCTGTCCGTGAGCAGACAGCAGTGCGCTGTGGGACAAAGGTGCTGGGTGCAGCCCCGGGTGGATGAAATCCCTTTTTTCCCCCTGGAAACCTGGCACTGCCTGGCAGTTTCCTTGTCAGCTTTTCCCACATGCATCCAACAGGGGCATGCCAACACGTACTGCCCACTCCTGCCAAGACAGGGCATCTCGTCTGCTCTGCCTCTGTCTTCATGTGCTCTGTTAGAAAAGTACCCCAGCAGCACAATGAGGCTCTGGAGCATGCTTTACTGTACTGCATGGAACTACACTGCGTCCTACTGCACTGTACTGAACTACATCCTACTGTACTGTACTATAGAATTCTACTGTGGAGTCAGCAAGCAGACAGATCTCTCCAGGCAAGCAGATTGGTTTAATAATCTAACAACCTGCTCTCATATCATGCAGGCCCATAGCAGGAAACTAGAGGAAACTGTCACAGCTATCTGGGTGCCCCGGACAGTGTCAAATAAGCAATATTTCATCAGCCTAAGCTGCTCAGGGGGATGGGTTTCACCCCAGTTTCTGTACTGTGAGGGGATCACGAAACAAGACTCTGTGCTCTCTGTCACAGATTAGCCTCAACGTACATTGGTCCCCTTTCGACCAGTGTATCTTGGTCAAGAGGAGATTAGTGGTGTCTGCAGCGGGGGCGTCACACCCTGATGGCGAGGACAGAGCCCTCCAGCACCTGTGCACGCTGTTCTTCAGGACGTGCATGCCGGGGTGGTGAATGTGTAACCTCCTGTCTGAGGACTGAGGAAATCTGGCACCGGTGAAAAAATCCCGGCTTCAGCCCTGACAGGATGGGCTCTCGTTTGGCCGCTGCTAAAACGATGGACAGGAGAGCCCCATTGCTCCTCTTTCCCACCGGACGAAGCCATCCGTCCCTCAGGTGTTCCGGGAGCTGGAGTAAACATCTGGCAGCAGCGAGGAGTGAGGAGAGGGAGAGGGAGAGCAGTTCCACTGAACCAGGAAGCCAGGGGCAAGCAGAGAGACCGCAGACGGAGTGGGAGTGTGAGGTGGGCCAGCTCTCTCTCTCCCTGCCCAGCTGGTTCACCTGCCTTCCTGGGCTCACAGCAGGCGGCCGAGGCCTGAGCGGTGCATTACTGCTGTCTGCACTCACGCCGTGTGTTACAGCGTCACCTCAACCGCTGCTGACAGGGGGAAGCGCTGGGCTCTCAAGGCTGGAGCTGGGAAGGTAATGGGAGCCGATGGCTGGGTGTGTTATCGCCATGTGTTATTCTTGCCATTACAGTAATCGGCCCATTAGCGGCCCTGACAATCCTCCTGACACGCGGCAGGACAAGGAGAGAGGTCCCCCACGGGGCCAAGCTGCACTTTCCTAACACT